TTTCTTCCTCTTCCCACCGTTCCTCCTTCCCGCGCCGCGGGGGATGCCCCTCAAATTCCCACCAAGCCCGTCTTTTAAACCCCTTTTTTGAACCCGAAAGGCTCCACTGGGTCGTTTTGGTGTTGGTTTTACTCGTATTTTATTTATCTTCCCTTTTTTTATTGCCCCCCTCCGAGGATCTCGATTTTTCTTCCTCTTCCCACCGTTCCTCCTTCCCCACGCCTCCTCAAATTCCCCTTTTAAACCCCTTTTCTGAACCCCAAAGGCTCCGCTGGGTCGTTTTGGTGTCGGTTTTCCAGGGTGCGGGAACCTTGGAAACCTCCCTGGCGCCACGAGGCATTTTCGGGATGGCATTTTTGGGATGGGATGGGATGGAGCAGCATCCAGCTGGGATTTTCCAGCGCAGGTGCACCAGGAGCTTGACGCCAAACGCGCCCCAACCCCTTCCCAAAAAAAAGGGTCGAAAAGCCAAACATAAATTAAAAATCCCTCCCCAAAAAAAGATGGGATTGGGGTCGGAGCTCCCCCGGGAGCCGCAGCTTGTTGTGCACAAGCCCCGAACACCTGAGCGTCACCCTGGGCTTAATTAGCGCCGCGCTCCTAATGAGCTTCGTTAACGACGGGGCGGGAACACCCGGAGAGACGCGGGGACGATGGAAACAAATTTGGGGTTTTTTTCTCCCCCAAATGCGTGTTTTTTTCCCGCCGTGCGACGAAAACATCGGAGCTCAGGGGCACAAATGGGGCGGGGGCAAAATTTCGAGGCAAGAGCGGAAAATATGAAGGGATTTAGGTTTTTTTTTCCCCCCCTTAATTCCGCTTTTCCGAGGCGCCGGCGGGTGGGGAAGGGCCGCCCTTGGCAGCGGAGCGTGGCCGGGCCGCTGCCTTTGATCCCGCGGCGCTCAAAGGGGGACCCTCCTCCTCCTTCTTCTCCTCTCAACCCGAACTTACTCGCCCTTGAAGTTGTGGCAGGTGCCCTCCTCCGCCCCCTTTTCCGAGAGAATAAATAGAAAAAAGGGGAAAAAAAAAAGGGAATAAAGGGAAGAGAGGGGGGGGGACCCAGAAGAGGAGGAGGAGGCGGCGGTGAATGGATCCCGCCGTGCTCGTCCACGCTCGGGCGGTCGCGGCTTCACAAAGAGGAGCCGCGGGAGGGCTTTTTTTTTTGGGGGGGGGAGGAGTGGTGGGAAAAGCTCGGAGCTTCCGACGGATCCCGCTGGAAATTTGGGAGCTGGTGCCGGAGCTCCGCGGTGGCCGCAGAGCCGCCGGACCCGCCGCTCCGACTCGGCCGAACCCGCGGAGGCTCCTTGCCAGGAGTTTTCCTTCTCCCAGGAGTTTTCCTTCTCTCCCAGGCAGGAAAAACACCCCGGGGAAAAAAAAAAGGCTTTTCCCTTCCCCCCCCCCCGCCAAAAGTATTTCGGACAAATTTTGGGCTCTGGTTTAGCTCGGGAGCGAGAGGGGAGGCGGCGGGGGGGAGATCCAGGACATCTTCCAGTTATTTATTAACCCTCCTGGTTCCTGATGTTTGAATTTTAGGGTGGATTTAGAGGCTGGAAGGGCCGGGGGGGGGAATGAATTTCACACGTATCGCTTGTGCCCTTGCAGGGAGTGAAATTTATATTCGTACATTATTAATATTGCGTTGTTAATATTGCTTTACCATATTACTCTATTAATGTATTAATATAGTAATATATAATATTAATATAACAATCTATTAATATTGTAATGTTAATATTACTTTACTATATTGTTCTGTAAATGTATTAATATAATATTATATTATATATAGTAATATACTAATATAATAATATATTAATATAATAATGTATTAATATTGTAATGTTAATGTTACTTTACTATATTGCTCTATTAATGTATTAATATAATATATAATATATAGTAATATATTAATGTAACAATAAATTCATATAACAATATATTAATACTGTAATGTTAATATTACTTTACTATATTGCTCTATTAATGTATTAGTATAACAATATATTATATATATAAAATAATATATTAATATAACAACATATTAATGCATTAATATATCACTATTGTATTATTATACGTTATCAGCCTGGTCTAGTGGAGGGTTCCCTGTCCCATGGGAGGGGGGGCGGTTGGTCTGGATGATTTTGGGGTCCTTTCCCACCCAAACCATTACTAATCGACTGTATTAATATATCCTACGCTATAAATATATATATATATATATAGTATTTAACACCCGGGGGACGCACCCAAAGCGATTTAACTCGCGGGTCTTTCTCCTCCCCGCAGGTTCCCGGAGCAGAGCAGCCCACCATGAACCACCCCGAACCCCCGCGCCCCTGAAACCTCGCAGAAACCCCTAAAAACACACCAAAACCCCCCCAAATGAGGCTTTTCCGCCGCCGCTCCGGCCCCTTGAAGGCGGCTTTGGCCGGCGCCGCCTTCCTCCTCTTCCTCTTCATCCTCCACAAGGACGCGGCCGACAAGGAGCGGGGCGAGGAGGAGCCGTGGCTGAAGAACATCGTGCAGGGCAAGGACCAGGTGCTGGATCTGATGCTCGGGGCCGTCAATAATTTGCGGGATTCGATGCCCAAACTGCAGATCGGGGCCCCGCAGCCCCCCCGGGAGCCGCTGCCCGGCGGGAGCCGCTCCTGCCCGCCCGGGGTCTACACGGCGGCCGAGCTGCGGCCCCTCCTCGAGAGACCCCCCCAGGACCCCGCCAGCCCCGGCGCCGACGGGAAACCCTTCAAGAAGGAGCGCTGGACGCCCGAGGAGAGCAAGGAGAAGGAGAAAGGATACGAGAAGCATTGTTTCAACGCCTTCGCCAGCGACCGCATCTCCCTGCAGAGAGCGCTGGGGCCCGACAGCCGCCCGCCGGAGTGAGAGCCGGCGCCCCAAAACCGCGTATTCCCGGGAATTTGGCCCTGGTTCCCTTAAATTTGGTCCCGATGCCTTAAAATGTTACCCTTATTCCCAAAAATTTGGCCATTTATTCCTTAAAATTTTACCCTTATTCCCTTAAATTTGGCACTTATTCCTTTAAATTTGGCCCTTATTCCCAAAAATTTGGCCATTTATTCCTTTACAATTTGGCCATTTACTGCTTAAAATTTGGCCCTTATTCCCTTAAATTTGACCCTTATCCCTTAAAATTTGGCCCTTATTCCTCAAATTTGGCCATTTATTCCTTTACAATTTGGCCACTTATTCCCTTACAATTCTGCCTTTCATTGCCTTAAATTTTCGCCATTTATTCCCTTAAAATTTGGCCACTTATTCCTTAAAATTTGGCTCTTATTCCTTATATTTGGCCCTTATTCCCTTAAATTTGGCCCTTGTTCCCTTACATTTGACCCTGATGCCTTAAAATGTTACCGTAATTCCCAAAAATTTGGCCCTTATTCCCTTAAAATTTGGCCCTTATTCCCTTAAAATTTGGCCCTTATTCCTTTAAATTTGGCTCTTATTCCTTAAAATTTGGCCACTTATTCCCTTAAAATTTGGCCACATATTCCCAAACATTTGGCCACTTATTCCCGAAAATTTGGCCCTTACTCCTCAAATTTGGCCCCTATTCCTTTAAATTTGGCTCTTATTCCTTATATTTGGCCCATATTCCCTTAAAATGTTACCCTTATTCCCAAAAATGTGGCCACTTATTCCTCAAAATTTGGCCACTTATTCCCTTAAAATTTGGCCACTTATTCCTTAAAATGTGGCTACTTATTCCCTTAAAATTTGTCTCATTCCATAAATTTGGCCACTTATTCCTTAAAATTTGGCTCTTATTCCTCAAATTTGGCCACTTATTCCTTTACAATTTGGCCACTTACTCCCTTACAATTCCACCTTTTATTCCCTTAAAATTTCGCCATTTATTCCCTTAACTTTTACCCTTATTCCCAAAAATTTGGCCATTTATTCCTTAAAATTTGGCCCTTATTCCCTTAAATTTGGCCACTTATTCCTTAAAATTTGGCCATTTATTCCCTTAAAATTTGGCCACTTATTCCTTAAAATTTGGCCGATTATTCCTTTACAATTTGGCCACTTATTCCCTTAAAATTTGACCCTTATTCCTCAAATTTGGCCACTTACTCCTTTACAATTTGGCCACGTATTCCCTTACAATCCCGCCTTTTCTTCCCTCAAAATTTCGCCATTTATTCCCTTAAAATTTGGCCCTTGTTCCCTTAAGTTTGACCTTGATGCCTTAAAATGTTACCCTTATTCCCCAAAATTTGGCCCTTATTCCTTAAAATTGGGTCCTTATTCCCTTAAAATTTGGCTCTTATTCCTTAAAATTTGGCCATTTATTCCCCTAAAGTTTGGTCACTTATCCCTTAAAATTTGGTCACTTATTCCCTTCAAATTTGGCCACATATTCCTTCAAATTTGGCCACTTATTCTTTAAAATTTGGCCCTTGTTCCCTTAAATTTGGCCCTGATGCCTTAAAATGTTACCGTTATTCCCTTAAATTTGGCCCTTATTCCTCAAATTTGGCCACTTATTCCCTTACAATTCCGCCTTTTATTCCCCTAAAATTTGGCTCTTATTCCCCTAAAATTTGGCCCTTATTCCCCTAAAATTTGGCCACTTATTCCTTAAAATTTTGCCAATTATTCCTTAAATTTTGGCCACTCATTTCCTTACAATTCTGCCTTCTATTCCCTTAAAATTTGGCCACTTATTCCCTTAAAATCTGACCATTTATTCCTTAAAATTTGACCATTTATTCCTTAAAATTTGGCCCTTATTCCTTAAAATTTGGCCACTTATTCCTTAAAATTTGACCATTTAGTCCTTAAAATTTGGCCCTTATTCCTTAAAATTTGGCCACTTATTCCTTAAAATTTAGCCACTTATTCCCAAAAATTTGGCCCTTATTCCTTTAAATTTGGCTCTTATTTCTTAAAATTTGTCCCTTATTCCCTTAAATTTGGCCACTTATTCCCTTAAATTTGGCTCTTAATCCTTAAAATTTAGCCACTTGTTCCCTCCAATTTGGCCACTCATTGCCTCGAACTTGGCCCTTTTTCCCTCGAATTTGGCCCTTTTCCCCTCGAATTTGGCCCTTATTCCTTAAAAATTGTTCCTTTTCCCCTTGAATTTGGCCCTTATTCCTTAAAATTTAGCCACTTATTCCCTTGAATTTGGCCACTCATTCCCATAAAATTTTGCCCCTATTCCCCGAAATTTCAGGGGAAACAAAAGCCACCTGGGGACAGGGATTCTCTCGGTGCTGGCAGGGGGTTGAACGGCGACAGAGCTGAAAAACGACCCGGATTTATTAATATTTTCCCCCAATTCCGGCCCCTCGGGGTCGGATTTAAGGGCACCGCGCTCTTTGTGTCTCCCTGTACCTGCTCGAGGGGGCTCCGGGATCTCCCCCCTCTCCCTCCTCTCTCCCTCTTTTATTCCCGCCGGCTCCAGAAATCCCACTTTTTCTTTTCTCAGCCGAGTGGAACAACCTCGGACCCCGCTGGGTGCGCGGGGACGGGGGGGAGGAGGAGGGAAACGGGGGAAATCCAGGGATTTCCTCGCTGCTGGATTAACCACGGCCTTCTCCTCCCCCCCCCCCCCAGCCCTGCCTGCGCCGGGGGGGCGGGAATTCGGGCTGGGAAAAGCCTGGAATAGGAGGGAGAAGCGGAGCCCTCCCCCCGTTCGATCGATTATCTGTGATCGGCGGTGACAAAGGGGGGGCCGGGAACGGGACTCGCTAAACCAAAACCAACGGGAATCAAAGCCGGGATGAGCTGGGGGGGTTGGCGGGAACGGGAATCAAAGCCAGGATGAGCCGAGAAGGGGTCAGGAACGGGAATCAAAGCCAGAATGAGCCGAGAAGGGGTCAGGAACGGGAATCAAAGCCGGGATGAGCTTAGAGGGGGCCGGGAACGGGACTCGCTCCACCAAAACCAGCGGGAATCAAAGCCGGGATAAGCCGAGAGGGGTCGGGAATGGGAATCAAAGCCGGGATGAGGCGGGGGAGGGCGGGAATGGGAATCAAAGCCGGGATGAGCCGGGGGGGGGGGCCGGAGCCGCCCTCCCGCTGCGGGCTCTGGGGGGCACGAAGGGTCGTTCCCGTCGCTCCCCCCGCCACCAACCCCCCCCTGTCGCGTGTCCCCAAAGGTGCATCGACCAGAAGTTCAAGCGCTGCCCGCCCCTGCCGAGCACCAGCGTGGTGATCGTGTTCCACAACGAGGCCTGGTCCACCCTGCTCCGCACCGTCTACAGCGTCCTGCACTCGGCCCCCGCCAGCCTGCTCCGGGAGGTCATCCTCGTGGATGATGCCAGCACCGACGGTGGGGACACGGCAGAGACACAGGGACACAGGGATGTGGGGGCCAGAGGGATGTGGGAGCTGGGGTGGGATAGGGGGACACAGGGGTGTGGGGGCCAGAGGGATGTGGGAGCTGGGGTGGGATACGGAGACACAGGGGTGTGGGGACCTGCTGCACACAGTGTCCAGAGTCCTGCACTCGGTCCCCGACAGACTGCTCTGCAAGGTCATCCTCGGGGATGATGCCAGCATCGGTGGTGGGGACATGGGGAGGAACACGGGGGGGGGCACGGGGGGGCCATGGGGGGGGAGGGCAGCTCGGGGGGGGGACACGGGGACAGAGGGATGTGGGAGCTGTGGTGGGATGTGAGGAGAGAGGGATGAGGGAGCTGGGGTGGGATGAGGGGACCAGAGGGATGTGGGGACTAGAGGAATGTGGGAGCTGTGGTGGGATAGAGGGGCAGAGAGATGTGGGGAGAGAGGGATGAGGGAGCTGGGGTGGGATGTGGGGACCAAAGGGATGAGGGAGCTCTGGTGGGATGTGGGAGCTGTGGTGGGACACAGGATCCAGAGGGATGTGGGGACCAGAGGAATGTGGGAGCTGTGGTGGGATATGGGGACAGAGGGCTGTGGGAGCTATGATGGGATGCAGGATCCAGAGGGATATGGGGACCAGGGGGATGAGGGAGCTGTGCTGGGGTGTGAGGAGAGAGGGATGAGGGAGCCATGGTGGGATTTGGGGGCCAGAGGGAGGAACAGGAGCCCTGGCAGGGTGTGGGATCAGAGGGATGCAGGAGCCCTGGTGGGATGTGGGATCAGAGAGATGCAGGAGCCGTGGTGGGATGGGGGATCAGAGGGATACAGGGGTCAGGGGGGTGCAGGAGCTGTGGTGGGCTGCAGAGGTCAGAGGAATGTGGGGACTAGAGGGACGTAGGAGCCGTGGCAGGATGTGGGAGCCGTGGTAGGATGTGGGGCCAGAGGGATGTTGGGAACTGTGGTGGGATTCAGGGGCCAGATGGATGCAGGAGCCATGGTGGGATGTGGGATCAGAGGGAGGCAGGCGCCCTGGTGGGATGTGGGATCAGAGAGATGCAGGAGCCCTGGCAGGATGCAGAATCCATAGGGATGTGAGAGCCGTGGTGGGACACGGGAGCCAGAGGAATACAGGGATCAGAGGGATGCA